AATGCCCGAGTCCACTTCTCCACTGGAATATTATCGATCCACCTTAGTGCTTATGAGTTTGCCAACCGGATTTCTTCGCGATAGTATCGAAATGACGGTTCTGTTAAGGCATACCCTGCATTAATAACTTTCTTTTGAAGTGTCTTGTCTTTGATATGAAGCATGAAGTTTTGTGTGATATGTCTAATGCAATAGACATGTGTCTAAGGGGGATCCTGCCAACCGTTATCAAGGTTATTGTATGCACTCACAATTGATGGATGTCTGTCTGAAATCAAACAAAGGTTGGGTTGTGGAGCAACGTGTAATTGGAGATTCTTCAGAAATAAATTCCATGCACCACCTGTCTCACCTTCAACTAGAGCAAAGGCAATCGGGAAAACATTATTGTTTCCATCTTGTGCCACTGCCATGAGTAATGTTCCTTTATACTTCCCGTATAACCAAGTTCCATCAATCTGTATAATAGGTTTGCAAAATGAAAAACCCTTGATGCATGGTTCAAATGCCCAGAACAATCGATGAAATATTCCATTCCCACTAACACGAGTTCTGTCTGGGGTAAAAGGCAAAAGTGTCTCCAAAATTATAGTAGTTCCCAGAGCATAATATTTGAGTGCCACCAAAAATCTTGGAAGTTCTTTGTACGATTCCTCCCAATTACCGTACACAAGTTCAATTGCCTTAGTCCTCCCGATCCATGCCTTCCTGTAAGAGGGAGTATAATTGAATCTCGTAGTTATATGAGAAATAATTGTACTCACCTTTAATGATGGATCTTTGCTAATAAGAGTCAAGATTTCTTGACATATTAGTTGAGAACTAAGTTTCTGATGATCCTGTGTCAGAACGGTGGTGATGCAAGTGTGGAGCGGATCAATGGAACCTATTTCCCATGAATCACTTCTCTTCCTGTAATATGCAGTTAACCGAAAAGGGCAAATTGGTTTTTGATGACATAAAATAACGTACCTCCCTGAATTATTTTTATCTACAGTGAAGTCAGCTAAAATTTCCATGTGGTATTTTTTTGATAGCTCTAAGACACTCTTCTTTTGTTCGAAATTTGTCTCCAACTTTCAAGGCCCCAAATATATCTGAGGCTTGTTATCTTCCCCCAAGTTCAATTTCGTCATGTGAAACCGAGGGTCGTACGCATGACTTACAAGTATAGGTTCATGCTCTTGATCTGTAGCGTCATCATTGACCATAATATCAATCATTGCCTCATCATCTTTTTCTTCTTGGTCAATAACATCGACTTCGGGATGGTTGTCCTCGTCAGATTCATCCTCTTATTCAAAGTCTTGAGAAGGATCTACCACCTGAGATTGATCTGGTTGTTGTAATAAAACATATAGCTCAATCTCATCGAACCCGGATTGTTCATGAGTTCGAAACATGTTTCGAACATCATCATTGTCGCGCACCTTAAGTTGATAAGATTTGACTTGGTTGTTGTCAAATAGAAATGGGGACTTGTAAAGATTTCGTAAACTGGACCACACTGAAATTTGGATTCTACTCTATCTTTGAAGCGTGCAAAACTTGATTTCTTGTTTATCCGAAATCAGATAAAATCGATATTACAGAAATTAAAACCTAAGTTATCGCAGTTGAACGTCTCACCGTTAATATGGGCAATAATAGTATAATTTTGTGAATGATCCATGTTGTTGAGGTATGTTTTTTGTGAGTTATGGATGTATACTAGTAATGCAACCTACACAGACGATTAAATAGACTGATATTCTGCATGCATGTGCCACCCTAGGTGGCTAATCCTCATATTTTCTCATGCATGCGCCACCCTAGGTGGCTTATCCTCCTCTTTATGCATGCATGCGCCACCTAGGATGGCTTATCCTCCTCTTTTTGCATGCATGTGCCACCTAGGGTAACTTGTCATTGAATAACAAAACTTGCATGCATGCCATCTGATCCCTGCCATGCTGCAGGTTTGCATGCATGCAAAAAGCAAGAAGCCATGTTGAATGGCGCCTATGTACAATAAAGAGAGCATGCGCCACCTAGTGTGGCGCCTATGTACAACAAAGAGAGCATGCGCCACCTAGTGTGGCGCCTATGTACAACAAAGAGAGCATGCGCCACCTAGTGTGGTGCCTATGCGCAATAAGGAAGAGCGTGCGCCACCTAGTGTGGCGCCTATGTGTATTAGTTGCATGCAAAGTATTCTTCAAGATTTTCCTATAAATACATATAACATTCACCCTATATTTCCATCCCAATCATAACTCATACACTATTTCTTTCTTGAAGTCTCAACAACAACACAAGAGTAATCAAGAAAAAATGTCTGTCTTGACCATGGGTGATCAACATAGAGGAACTCCGAACAACATTGAAACCTTTGTAAGTGTATTTTCCTCAATACCTATTTTTTACCGACAATTTTTTGTTCCTTAATTCTTATGATTATTATACATAAATCTTGTATTTCTTATACGTAATTCATGTTTTTAATAGGATGTTAAAAGATTTCGTTGTCGTGTCCATGAGTATGTCCCTTACGACGTTCAAATTGAACCGTACTTACGACATGCCGATTTTGGTCTGTTACTCAACATAGTCAATTACCATGTTGACTATAAAATTATTCTCGCATTAGTGGAGAGATGGAGACCCGAAACTCACACCTTTCATCTTCCATGTGGTGAATATACAGTCACACTAGAGGACGTGTACATGTTATTCGGTCTACCGATCGACGGTAAGGCTGTCAATGACCGAGTCAACCAAGACAACACCATATGCGAGGAACTTTTGGGAGTCTCTTTATTTGAACAAGGATCAAAAGGCCAAGGTGTTAATCTCCATATTCTTAGAGAATATCATAGTAGTCTCGCAATAACCAAAAACTCTACCGAGCAAGAAAAAATTGTGAAAGCTCGGTGTTACATAATGATATTATTTGGCCATTTTTTATTTCCTGAAACAACGGGTAATACTGTTAATATCATGTATTTACCCTTGTTAAGACAATTTGATAAAATAAACACATATAGTTGGGGTTCAACTGTTTTGGCCCATCTGTATAGTTCCTTGTGTAAAAATGCATCAAACGGTAGTTGTTCTTTCTATTCTTGCGCCTTTTTGCTCCAGACATGGTGCTGGCCGAGAATACCGACACTTGCCCCCCGCAACACAAAGTCATTCGTCTTTCCCTTTGCTACAAAGTAAGATTACAAAACAATAAATTTTACATATTATATACCGAGACATGTAATGTATTAATTTATTACCCATTTTTTCTATGTAGGTGGTCTGTTCCTAGGATGAATTACAACAAATCCCCTAGAAACGCAATAGTAGTCTACCGAAATCTTATTGATCATGTTGGACCTGAAGAGGTATTAAACTTACATATTTTATACAACGCATTCAATATTTTAATTAAGTTTAATATTTTATATAACTTTTTTTACTCTACAGTTTGTATGGAGGCCGTATAAGAATCTCGACCATGAGATTAACTCTCCTGATGCTGAAGTCTGGACTGCAAAAACAACACTCATCAGGTTCACTACTGTGGAGATGCACCACAGTGATCGTGTGAAGCTACAGTTCGGCATGCAACAGGGTATCCCCAACCCCCCAACATGTTTCGGCCAATGGCATCTACTCAGAGTTGACGACCAGTGGGGATTTAACGATTTGAGAGACTTCGCTAAAAATCAATGTCGTCAATGGAGGCATATGCGTGAATTGGTCCTAAGGGAGCCGATCTTACAAGATGACTTAAAACCGACACTCCAATATTTGAGATGGTACATATTGGTTTCAACAAATTTGTTTCTGTCTCAAGAGACTATTTGATTGACCCACGCCAAAGAGCTGCAACATACGCCCAACAACAATCCCAACAACCAACCCCTCAACAATACCAAACCCAACAACCAACCCCTCAACAATACCAAACCCAACCACAATGTCAACCCACTCAAACCCAACAAGCATACACCACCTCATTCAACCAAACTCGTCATCAATTCATGCCACACACACAAACACAATACCAAGAGCATGACTCGACCCACCACCAACAATATGCACCATCCTCATCCTACCACAACACCCAAGACACATATGATACATCTGCTTCCTACCATACCACTCAACCTACATACAGTCAAACATCATACCATCGAAGTACCCAACCATCATACGAATTTCATACACCACAAGAACTGTTGCTTCGTTTTCATCACGATTCAACATCCCAATACTATCAACCACCCCACCACCCACATATATCCCAACCAACAAGATCAAACTTTAACAATATGGGCACCGATCTCTTTAGAAGCACAACACAGTGAGGCGAAATGATCGATGAGATGTATGATCCTGATATACTAGGACCATCACATCAAGCACCTCATAATCAAGCAAGTCAGAACAGGCCACAAACACCTCAGGAAAATCAACAGAGAGGAGTGAGACAAGAGGCGAGGCAAAGGCGTGACCGTTTATGTCATACGGGGACCCGCTTAAGTTGAGGGGACGTCCAAAAAAAATGTATCCATGCTTTGTGTAATATTAAATATTAATATAAAATATTTTTAGTTTTTTTTTTTTTTTATTTAAAAAAATTTTGCAATTATACTGTCAAGTCAATGAGGATGGTGCCTTCTCTCAAAAACACATGCATGACTTTACGGAGGAGGACAAACCATGCAGTGTGGCGTCTCCTCTTTAAATTGAGTGCATTTGCCATACAGAGTGATTACTCCTCTGTGTGGCAAAATTTTTTTGTTTGAAAAGTGATCATTTTGATAAAATTTTTGAAAATGTGATTATTTGAAAAAAAAAAAATTTTAAAATGATTATTTAAAAAAAATTTCTAAACTTAAACTCAAATATGTGTGTACACTTGAATTAAAAGCGATTAGAAGACTTGTAACAAAAAAAAAGAGTTTCTGAAATGGGGATAGGGGGACAAATGGATTGATTGAGTTTAGAGCATTAGCAAACAAAGCATGGCGTTGGCGTCAATATGGACAGTTGAGTTTCGTTTGCTTTCCGTTCACGTAAGTATCTCTTACCTTTCAATTTAACACAATAATGAATCATTCTTCATTCAACCCTAATAAAATAAAATAAATGTAGCCTTGTTCTCCCTCTTCGAGCACAAGAACAAGAAAAATCCACCGATTCCGTATCACAAATGGAATTCCCAAAGAGGTTCTTACACGCACTCAGGAATTCCAACAACACTGCACCACTTCCGTTTCCAAATTTCATCATCAACTTGTTACTTCCATCCCAATGCCGCAGTTTCTGGTAGGGTTTCATTTTTCATGCTCAATTTGTTATAATCAGTGTTGATTTGTTTGTTCAAATTGAAATTAGGGTTTAGGGTTTTTACTGTTTGGTGTTGTTTTGTAGGTGAATCTAAACGTTGGGAGTAATTTACCGATTTGGGTCTGTGTTGCTGTTGTGGTTTTGTTTGCTTCTTTGAGGACGATTTTTTCCAGAAAAAAACAACCGCCTGGTTCGGTAGCTGATCTTGTTAGACGTGGTCAATTGAGATCAGATAGAAGAGGCATGTATGTATGATTTCAATCTACACTCAGTTATTGCTTTTCACTTTAATTCCACGTTGTTTATTATCTGTCTGCCCAATGCTATGTATAAACCAATTTAGATAAGTGTTTGTTTTGATTGATGGTGAGTGTAGAGTAATCTCGGTGTGCCACTATGGTTTTAGCAAAAGCTACACATTAATGTATGTTTGGTTTCATTTTGGAGCACTCTGAATTGATTTTAACATGTTTGGTTGCTCTCGAGTAGAATTGATTATGTTTTTCAAAATTGATTTTACTTTAAGCTAAAATTTGTAGCTTTTAAGTCTAAACTTAATTCTTATACTGAAATTTACTATTCAACTCACTTCTGCAACAATTTATCCAAACATAAATCACTTTACTTTCAACTCAATTTTAATCTGAATCAATTTATCAGAATCAATTCACTTAAAGTCGAATTTCTTTACCATAGAACCAAACACACGTTTAGACTTTCAACAAAATTATGGTGCAACCATGATTTTGCGTAACTCACTAATAATCCAAACATGTAGTTAATGCTATTTGAGTTGTGAGGCCATCCTTATCCCTAGTGAGTGACTTTTACACAATTCACCTAGTGTGTGTTTGGATTAACTTTTTTTAAGAGGCAAAAGCGTTTTAGATGCATCATATTCTTCTTGATGTGTTTAAAAATAGAATTGGTTTTGCTTAAGATTTGGATTATAACTTGATTTGAACTTTTGTCTTTTGATGTGATTTTAAGCTTCAAATTTATTGTTTAATTGAACTTGCTTTTATGTTAGATATTTAAGTTACTTCACATTCAACTCATTTTTAACAAAATTCAAAATCATTTTTTACCACTACAAAAATATAAATAGGTTTAAAATAGTATACGTTGCTAGGTGGCAAGAACTTATTGATATTTTCCTTCGTTTTAATACATTGCTGTCTATCTACGTCCTTTGTTTACATGTTTTTCAGATCTAGGGATCCCAAATTTGAAGATCCATTTGATAATCCCTTGGTCAAAGTTAGCAAAAACAAGTCAAGTGTAGAGATGTGTGGAAAGGTTTACCGCTTAGCCCCCGTCACACTTACTCAAGAGGAACAGACAGTTCACCAGAGAAGGAGATCGCGTGCGTATCAATGGAAGCGTCCCACAGTTTTCCTTAAGGAAGGAGACTCGGTTCCTCCGGATGTTGATCCCGATACAATCAGGTGGATTCCTGCGAATCATCCCTTTGCCACCACTTCTACGGATATTGGAGAGGACTTTGCACACAAAAATGTCAGTCAAAAGAGTGGAGTTCCTTTTCGTGTTCAAGCTGAGCATGAGGCCCTACAAAAAAAACTTGAAGCCCTACAAAATGTAAGTCATAGCAGAGTAACGAATTTCAATCGTCCTATGCTTGATATTGTTTTAGAATTTGTTAAGCAAACGCCATGTCTTTATTCCAGCTTCTAAAGATTTAGTTGTTTGGCTTTTTCTTTCAAGCTGATCACTGAGTTCCTGTTTTTGAAATTCAACACTGATTCAACCAATGCAGTCTTCTCTGATTATGTGCTAAGTACAGACGTTGGACACAACACGGACACGTCAACACGGGACTTCTTTTCACTCATCTTTTTTATTATTTATTCTGCAGGAAGAGGAACTCAATAAAGTAGTGATAAATCCTACCAATGCTAAAGAATTGGCGAGACCATTCAATTCCCACGCAGAGAAGAGCTCTTTAAACAATCAGTTGAAAGATCCCCCCTCCTCTAAATTAGATAATGGCCCGAATCACTTCGAAATTGCGCCTTCAACGGGTGAAGACCAAAATCTTAAACTTTGAATTTTCACTTGAGTAGGCTATAAATTTCAGTAACAGTACAAATATAGATTTCAATTTGCTAAACATTTTTGTACTATCATCGGCCAGCATTAGAACTATCGGATTGTATAGCTGAAAAGTGAGGACTGTAAATATAATTCTATTGCTGTTTAGCAAGTGATGCTGTTACCTTTATGATTCTGGAATCTGATTCTTGGCAACAGTTTCCCAGACAAACACCCAAAAGAAAAATAATCAGAAATTATATTTACATATTAAAAGAAATCACAGATGTACAATAAAGAATGCAGGTAAGATTTGTTCACTAGGTAATTATGCTGATTTTTAAAGAATTAGATAATATTAAATAACTATGATTAACTTGTAAAGAATGGCTTAACTGGACTACTCTATAAAAATAAGTTTATAGTATTAAATGATGTGGTAAAAAGAATGTATTGTAAATGTTTCTTTATGTGAAAACAATGTTAGCTTGACTTTGATATGACCATTTATCCTTTATGAAAGAAACAAGATATGATTCTTTCTTGGAAAGGAGTAACACTAAGAATTCCATTTGAAATTGAAATGATAAAAATTTGTTTGTGATTAAACTTGTCTGCCCATTTTTGGCATTTAGAAGCTTCGTGCCGTTGCATTTGGTAGGAGTATGATGAAAAAGTGTTTTATGAGATCAAAGCAACACTAGTTTTGAGCATTAATATTAGGTTTTTTTGTTTTTTTGTTTTCTATACATGAATTGGGTCATCACCTCAACTATGATGAGCACAAGCGATACTAGAAACTTCCCTTGTCGCTGTCATATGAGAAGCTTTCTTAGAAGCCGCCCATTTTAGAATTAAAAATTAGGCATGTGAATACCAAGATCCTTGGGATAAATTAGTTTAAATGGAAGTAAAGTTAAACTTTATTGACAAGTAATGAGTATCCTATGAGTGTAAGGAGACAAGAGTTAGTGTAAAGAAATGGTTATTATCCCTTATAAACGCATTTATAAGAAAAGAAGAAGTTGATAAAAAGAAAAAGAAAGCAAAAGCAAAGGATAAAAAATGGAAATTGAGGTTGTGATTCAACTTAGCGGGAAGTAGCCGTCTCCATGGCAGTGTCACTCACTGGTTAGTGCATAGTGGCCACTAAGCTATAATGTGGACTGACTTATCACTTGAACCTAACCCAACAATAGCTGTGCCATTGTTTATAATAATTAAGGTTTTATTTAGATTTGAGGGAATCAGATGGAGCAAAATGAAATGAGATGAAGTGTCTGTTTGGTTTGGCGGTGGAAACACCAAACACACGCTTTAGACTCTTCCCACCGTGAAAAGAAGAAGCAGCAAAACATAGCTTTTAAGTAAACATGAAAATGTGTTGTGCATTTTGGGATGCAATCGTATATCCAAACATACCAAAAATAAAATGATATTTTATTGTTTAGATAATTTTAAAACGGATGGAATGAAGCGAAATGGAGTGATATGGATTTCATTCTATTCTATCACTTACCACACTATATTTATCCTCTAAGATTTGAGATTTGAGCGGAATGAACAACTTGTCTTGTTCTATCCTAAAATTTCTAAATAAAATGATATCTTAGCTCCGTTGCGCTCCATTCCGCTTCGTTCAATTTATGATATCCAAACATAACCTAAAGTTTAATTCTAAACTCTTACTTTATTTTAATTTTAATTTTGAATGTATTTACGAAATGAGATATCATTAAAATACATGTTTTTTAAATGATATAGTTTTATATGAAGAGTCGAAAGAGGATTTAAATGAGATGTTAGAAATTTAAAGACAAACTTTAAAAACACATGATATTTGCCTAAGTATAAGTAAGATAGAGAATATAAAATGCAAGTTCAACAAAAAAAAAACATTTATAACTTATAGGTGAGAGTTTATTAGAAAATAAATACTTTGAGAGGGAAGAGTATATTTTCATTCATCTTACTCTTTGCAATAGCAGATGGAGTTTATATACAAGCTAAGGAATTGGCTAAGTTTGTTAGCACAACTATAACAGACTACAACAGATTCCTAACAAACTTCTAACTGCACATAAACACTACAGCCAATGCACACACATACCAGATGGATCACAAAAGTTTAAGTATTAGCTCTAACATGCCCCCTCAAGATCAAGGGGATTGACATGACATCACTTTGAGCTTGCTCCTTAAACCTTGAAATGATGTTGTTCCAAGAGGTTTTGTAAGAGTGTCTGCAATCTGAGCAAAAGCAGGAATATGTTGAATCACCAGCTTCTTAGCCATTATTCATTCTCTTACAAAATATATATCAAGTTCAATGTGCTTCGTGCGGGCATGAATAAAAGGATTGTGGGACAATATAACAACACTCAGATTATCGCATAACAGAGTGTGAGGATAGAAGGAAATCTTAAACTCAGTTAAGAAAGATTCTAACCATAACAGTTCTGAGGTAGTATGAGCTAGTGCTCTATACTTAGCTTCTGTGCTTGATCTTGCTACAAGCAATGGCTTCTTGGAACTCCAATGGGACCAAAGAATATACACGAACCAGAAGTTGACATGTGATCATCTAGGTCACTTGTGCAGTCTGAGTCACTATAGGGTCTTAAGGAGAAATTTTGAGTCGATGGAGAGGGAGAAATTTTGCTAAGTTTACACGTGTTAGGCATAAGAGTTGGCACACCATTGGCATTAGGAATTTTTGCTCTATCAAGTAAATCTCTGATATATTTGGCTTGAGTTAATAGTAAGGATCCATTTGCCTGATAGATGAATTCTATGCCTAGAAAATATTCTGGTTTTCCCAGCCTCTTTAAAGCAAAAGCTTTATGAAGTTTAGTAATCAAATCCTGTACTAAGCTGCAGATGAGCTAGTCAACAGGATGTCATCAACATAGACAAGGGCATAGATAATAATACCTTGTTTGGAGTATATGAATAAAGAATGATCTCATTTGGAGTGAGTGAAGCCAAAAAGTAGGAGTGCCTGAGTAAGCTTATCATACTAGGCCCTAGGGGTCTCTTTCAGACTGTAAAGAGCTTTATGGAGCTTACATACCAAATTATTATCTTGATGCCTGAAGCCTGGTGGTTGAACCGTGTACACTTCTTCTTGGAGAATCCCATTCAGAAATGAATTATTGATGTCTATTTGCTGGATGTCCCAGTTGTAGGTGAGAGCTAGGCTAAGAATAACTCTTATGATTGAAGGCTTCACAACAGGAGATAAAGTCTCATTGAAATCAAAGCCTTGTTGTTGATGGAACCCCTTTGCAACTAACCTGGCTTTGTATTTGTTGACACTCCCATCATGATTTTTTTGAGCTTAAAGACCTATCTACAACCAAATGCTTGTCTATGAGGAGCCAGTTTTGTAAGAGTCCATGTGTGGTTAGCCATGAGAGCATCATACTCACTTTTCATGGCTTGAACCCATTCTGGTTTTTGTAGAGCTTGTTTGACACTATTAGGTTCTGTGTGTGCTATGAAAACTTTAGGTTTTTAGTGTCTTGTTTTTGCTCTAGTTAACATAGGATGGTCATTTAGTGGAGGAGAACTGTTTGGTTGCAGACTATGTATAAATGGAGACAAAGATGTATCAGTTTTTGTACCAGGAAGACTGTTCAAGTTATTAGCAGATACATCAAGAAATTCAGCTGGTAAAGATGTGGAAGAGATATGTTGGTTATTAATTTGCCTTGAGTTTTGTGATGGAGGTGAAAGAGACTCATGACTAGATGGGACAATTTAAGAGTGGGATGGAGACAAGTGAGACAATGTATTATCACTATCAAGAGAGATAGGAAGTAGATTAGAGGGTGACTGAGGTGGTATTTGTGGTACAAATTTAACAATAATTTTTGAACTAGGGAGCATACTAGAGGGTGACTGAGGTATTATTGGTGTTGTAAGAGGTACCAATGGTTCTAATATGGAGACTTTGTCCATTACCAACATAAACCTGGCATTTGCCTCTATAGGGTTTGCTATTGTGCAGATAATTTTGAAAGGGTGTAAGGTGATGAGAAGCACTTGACTAAGCAAACCATGCCTGAGAATCAAGGTCAACAGGGAGAGAGTACCCATGAGTAAAAGCATATGGCTGAGTAGTCGTGGTTGTCATTGCCACTGCTTGAGATCCAGAGGTGGAGCCTTCTTCTTTGGTCTCTTTGTCATTATGGGCTGCCTGTGTCCCTGACTGAGAATTATGAAGACTGAAATTTTCATCATACATGTGCCAATAATTCAATGTAACATGTCCTAGTTTCCTACATAGATGACATAAGGGTCTGTTGCCTTAGACATAGAGACCTTTGTCGCGCCCACGACCTCAGTAGGAATGTCCCCTGCCTCTGGCATTAGAGAAACTTCCATGTGATTCACTTGCTCCATTTTCTGCATGAGCAATATTGGTAGATACTTTTGCTATAACTAATTCTTACCTGATATTGTCAAGTTGAGCTTCTTGTACATATAAGAGAGCTTCGACATCACATGATGTGAGTGTCTCAGTGCTTCCATACATCTGCATCACGAAGGGATTATACTCTTTTGGTAATCCATTTAGGATTAAGTCAATTTGATCCTACTCTAAAATGGAGTTTCCTATAGCAAGAAGAGAACTCGCTATGGCTTTGATTCTGAGCACGAATTCACTGATTCAAAGATTACCTTTCTTTGTGGATTTCAATTCCATTCGTAGTTGACGAACCCTAGCTCGCATTTGTGCATTAAAAAAGTTATGGATTTTATCCCATACCTCATATGAATGTTTGCAAGAAATTACTCTCCGTAGAACGAATTCAGATATGGTTGATAAGAGCCATATGAACAAAGCTTGATCTTACATAATCCACGCCTTGTATTCATCAGAGATTTTGTTCAATATGCGATCTTGATATGTCTTAAACTTCACAGAAATCTGGGGATTCCTACTAACAGGTGCATCTTCTGTGTGAGTATGGCGCCTTTTACCTATTGATTCCATGAGAGCTAGTTGTTATCCTTGAGCTGAATTGAAAGTTTTGGACCTTAGGTGTTGTTGGAATTCAATGTGAAGAAGCTGGAGGAGTTGTTGCAAGAGTTATATTGATTCTGCATGTGCGAGTTTTGATTTCCCAACTCCTCCATTGATAGATGTTGATGAAGCTTAGAAAGACGGAAGGTAGAAGATAAATGTCACTGAGGAAGATGAAGCGGGACCGTGGTTCAGATCCAAACCACTTCTGATACCATATTAGAAAAGAAATTATTTGAGAGGGAAAAGTATATTTTCATTCATCTTACTCTCTGCAATAGCAGATGGAGTTTATATTCAAGCTAAGGAATTGGCTAAGTTTGTTAGCACAACTGTAACAGACTACAACATATTCCTAACAAACTTCTAACTGCACATAAACACTACAACCAATACACACACATATAAGATGGATCACAAAGCTATATATAACAAGAGATTTTAGACAGTTCAAGTATTAGCTCTAACAAAGTTGAAGAGCATATCATCTTATAAGTCACACAGTTTAAATATCATTGGTCCATAATACAAAATGATGAAAAATAGGCGGGGATTTAAACCATCAAATTCAAGCGTGGTGACGAAAATGGAGGAGGGATTTGGGGATTTTATGTGACATAAAGGTATTGTACATACCAGAAAAATCGTTGTCCTGGATGGTGGTCTCAGATAAAGACCTAAGAAATCAAATGCTTCACCCTTATAGACATCGTTCTTGAGGGGCTTATGTACATCCCATAATTATTAAGCATAATCGAAATGTGTAGTCTAACTTGGACATAGGTCGATATAAATCAAGCACTTCACATTTACAGGCTTTGTGCTTGAGGGTATTATTTATGTATATCTCAGATTTGGCTTCTAAACCTGAACACACAATAACACCTTCCCGGAAAATAGTACACTTCCACGTAGTAACACTTTTTCGACCAAGAGTTCCCGACCACGAAGTAACACCTTCTCGGCCAAGAGTACCCGACCACAAAGTAACACCTTTTTGTTGAAAGTATAATTCCTTGTGTCGAAGCAGGTTGTTGCTTGACACAAGGTGTGTCAAAGCAGCATGTTGCTCGACACAAGGTATGTCAAAATTAGTCTGTGTCGAAGTGTGTTGAGTTGTATTAGCTATCGAAGTGTCGAAGCAGGTTGCTTCCCACAATATTTCGATTTAGGTCTAAAATAGGTATTTCGGGCTTTTATAGTTTTGGGATTTTGGCTTAGGGAGAAAGCAAGCTCATTATGAATAGAGGGAGTAACCACTATTTTTGAACATAACAAACTTAGAACTTGTATTCACAGAATTTTGTAGTTGCAAAGTGAATAAAGATTTTCCGTAGTTTGTGGGCAGAGAGTAACTCTGCAGAAACTCTAATCTCTTTTCTTATTTATTTTTCTTTTCATTGTTATTGTGTAGTGATAACAATCTTGTTCATCAAGTTGATATAAATTCTCCATAGGTTTTGGTGGATTTCCAACATCTATTATCAAGAGCTCCGGTTGAGCGATTTGTAGGTGTTTAGTTATTGGCATGCATTTTTGGTAAAACCAGGCGTGTGAATGTCATGACTAATGTCATAACATTCTGATTTATTAGGTACTGGTTTATTAGGTACCTTTGCAGAAAAATAGTGGCATACAGGTACTGCTGTTTATGAGTGTGTATCTGAGCATTTTGCAAAAAGATCACATTTATGGTCTTCTCAGTAAACAGGAATTCTGATGTCATAACAAATGTTAAGACATCCAGTACTGATCTAACAGTAGTGCAGTTTGGTTAATTCTGAGATTTTTCAGGAAGTTGGCTCATTCCTTCCAGAACAGAATCTCCCGTTGTCTTTGGGTTAACCTAGCTCAACCCTAAACTGGTTGATAAAGTCTTGTGACCAAGTCTTATGGTTAAACCTAATTAACCCTAGCTTTTTGTGGAAAACCTAACTGAAGAAACAACTGCTATATATTCAACAGGTCTGCTGTTTGGAAAATATCTCTTTGGACTGAAGATCAATCAGAAACTGTATAGTTTTAACTGCTGTAATCCAAGCAATTATCATTGTGATAAGTGACTTGGAATAGGTTTTGTTTGTAAGGGTTTTTGTACCACTCAAAGCTTTGAAGCAAGAGTGTTTTGTGTCTCTTGACTAAAGCTTTGAAGCAAAGTCAAGTTAGATTTATGTATCACTCAAAGCTGTGAAGCAAGAGTGTTTGTGTTACTTGATTAAAAACTGTGAAGCATAATCAAGTGTATGTTTTGAAGAGTATCTTCATTAATTCATTAGTCAATTGTTTTAAGTATCACTGCTGTGATTGATGGGGAGTGAGTAGGAACTCAGGTTTAAGTAGAACTTAGATTGAAGTTGCATTGGGTAGGTCTTAAGTGAAGGAGATAAACTGGTTGGTTTATTCCTGAATTAATATCTCTTATAGTGGATTTCCTCCCTGGCTTGGTAGCCCCCAGAGTAGGTGTTGTTTCACACTGAGCTGGGTAAACAATTGACTATGTTCTTTACTGTTTTTGTATTTACTGTCTTATAGAAAGTCAGATACGGTGTCATAACATTGACTGTGACATTGAGTATCTGCAGCCAGAATTTCAATTGGCATCAGAGCAGGCACCCTGCCTGTATTACTGGGTGAGATATAGGGATATCACTTTCTGGCACTATGGACAAAGAAGGAGTTTTTGGAAATAGACCACCCATTCTGGATGGAACAAATTATGACTACTGGAAACCTCGTATGATTGCCTTCTTAAAATCTCTGGACAAAAAGGCCTGGAGAGCTGCTGACAAAGGATGGAACCATCCCACCATAACTGAGAAAGATGGGACAATTAGTCTGAAGCCTGAGAAAGAATGGAGTAAAGAAGAAGATGAGTTAGCCCTGGGAAATTCCAAAGCTTTAAATGCCTTGTTCAATGGAATTGATAGAAACATATTCAGACTAGTACATCAATATGAACTGGCCAAGGAAGTTTGGGACACTCTCAAAACTACCCATGAGGGCACTGCCAAAGTAAAAATGTCAAGGCTTCAGATGCTGACTACCAAGTTTGAGAATCTAAAAATGATGGAAGATGAAACCATTCATGAGTTTCACATGAACATCTTAGAGATTGCCAACACCTCAGGAGCATTGGGAGAAAAGATGTCAGAAGAAAAACTGGTGAGAAAGATTCTCAGATCCTTGCCTAAAAGATTTGCAATGAAGGTAACTGCTATAGAGGAAGCCCAGGATATCAGCAAGTTGAAAGTGGATGAACTCATTGGGTCTCTTCAGACTTTTGAGATGGGGATCACTGAAAATGTTGACAAAAAGAACAAGAGCATAGCACTTGTATCCAACACTGAAGATGAAAACAAGGAGGATGAAGAAGAAAATATTTCAGAAGCTATAGCCATGCTTGGAAGACAATTCAACAAACTCATCAAAAGAATAGATCCAAAGTCAAGGTCTAATGTTCATAATATCCCATCTGACATTGACAGTTCCAGCAGAAGACCAAGGTCAGAAGAGAAGGGAAATCAAGGCAGAGGAATTCAATGTCATGGTTGTGAAGGATATGGGCATATTCGAGCTGAATGTCCTACCTTTCTTAAGAAACAAAAGAAAGGAATGACTGTTACCTGGTCTGACTGTGATTCAGAAAGTAATTCTGAAGAAGAATCTGCCAAACTAGTTACTGCACTAACTGGTGTTTGTTCCTCTGAAAGTGACACTAGTGATGAGGAAGTGACATTTGAAGAACTGGCTGATACTTACAAGAAATTGTGTATCAGAAGTGCTGAAGTCTATGTGCAGAATGAGAAACAAACAAAACTCATCATAAAGCTGGAGGCTGAAAAAAGGGCAGACCTTGAAACTATAAGTCATCTAGAAGGGGAAGTTCAAATGCTGAACTCAAAACTGAACCAGATGACCAAATCTGTCAAGATGCTGACAAATGAAACTGACAAATTGGAAGAAATCCTTCAGGTTGGACAAAATATGGGAAACAAGTCTGGACTAGGATTTGTGGAAGCAAAGAAACCTGGTGCAGACAAGAAGATTAGGTCTGATAAACAAAGGTCAAAGCAGATGTCAC